CTCGGATTTCTTTATTTCGAGATCTGCGACAAATTAATGAGAAATTTAAGATAGTTTGGTACTCAGGTGCTACCGCCAATAGTTGCTTCATAGAGATCGTGGGCTATATGGTGCCCAAAACTTTTAGAATATCATATGGTTATATATTAGTGATAATTCTCAATATCTATTTCTTCTTCCCAATCCTAGACACTGACGCAGGTAAATTGGTTTACTCTATATTAAAAATTGATAAAGCTATTGGAACTAAATTTGACGGAGCTTATAAAATCGGTTCTTTGAATGGATAAGATTGTTCTTCCAATTGGGTTGATATTGGTTCCTTGGAATTCACGCCGCAGAGAAGATCTTTCGACGAAAAGGACGTTTCTCAAAACTGTGTAGAGAATAGAACAGCTTGACATAGAACAGAAGCCTAAGTAATTGGTACCTCATTAGGATGCACAACCAATTCAGGTCTTATATTGAGTAAGGGGCCCATGTTAGGACCTAGATTGGATGGCCCCATAATTGGGTCCAATTGGTCCTTCGCTTCAGGATCACCCAAATGTTGAATTGATCCTTTCTCCTTTTGCTGACTGCTTGTATGGACAGCTTAGACTACTTCTACCCAATGAACTAGTGATTCCTATGTCTCGTTATTTTTTTTCTCTACAATTTACACAGTTGATTGTATCTTCTGATCATGATTATTAGGATTAAATGGAACATTGCATTGATAATGAAAATGTCTCAATTACTTGTAATTTTCACATACTGGAGCATATTCGTCTATAAACCTTGGATTAGGGCATTTACTAGCATAATGACCAATTTGTCGATACCAGTAGCAATGTAGTGGTTTTTGACCCATATCGTCAGGTACACTTGGAGTCTCCACTAGAATATATCTACTAGGCCAATTCCAGGTAGTCATCGTAAATGATCTTGGCTGACCAGTTGCTATTAGTTGAGAATTGGACTGCTGAATTGGTATAGTTTGGAGATTATCTCCTTGATTATTTCTATCGTTCTGCATATTTGTTCCATAAATCAAATTATAATTAGTATTTTGAAAATTTCCAAAGCCATGATTAGGTTGATTTGAGCGATTACTATTTCAACCATCCATATTTCCAATCTGTACTTAATTAACATCCCATTGAGTTGGCTGTATCATCTGGTTATTGAACTGTTGTTGCCTTTGTAAATGCCAGCAGTTTTCGATAGGGTGCTTTCCTCCAAAAAATGTACATTGAATATCGGTTTGTTTGGGTGATATATACTCCATATCAAAATGATCTTGTTCCTTACAATTATTATACCATACATTAGGTCTTGTATTAGAAGGCTTATATTGTTTCTTCTTATCTTTAGTCAAATTCACGGCCAATTCTTCCATCTTCTTTTTAGATTTAATAACAAGTCTTCATTTGGATCTTTAACAATCACATTTGTGAACAACTCCGGATGTTGATAGGTTGGCGATGTAAAATAAGGTGTCATTGTTATTGGCACTATTGCTTGGATTGGTGTAGCATTAATTGATTTTTGCAACATAACATTCTTCATGTTGGACTCAGCCATTTGTGGATAATTACCCATCGACACATTTCCCAATTGTATTTGTTGGCTTCCTGAACTTGGAATCATCGTGGCCCCCACTGTTAACAATTGGTCATAATGACATTCTTTCTACACCTTTGCTTGTGCCAACGATGCCTCTACCGTAGTTGATTGAGCCTCTTTTACAAACATTTTCAATTCTGGTGGATGCAAACTATTGATTAATATCGACAATATAAATGCATCTGGCATTTGATTATTTACCCATTTATGAAGTATATCCGCGACCCGGCCATAATAGGACTCCACTGATTCCCCCGCAAACATCTTGCTATTCATAAAACTTTCTCTAAGCCGATCTTCAAATCCAATTGGTCTAAAATGGGATAGAAAGGCATTCCTCAAGGCCTCCCAATTGGAAAATCTACCCACTCGTTGCCGATTATACCATTCAAAAGCTGTATCTTTTAAATTTGTTGGCAACCATCTCAACCAAATGTCTTCAGTTCTACCATTATTAGCCATGCAGGCTGTCAAGAATTGAGATATATGATAATCGGGATCAGAGCCTCGCCAACCACTAAAAGTAGGTAATGGTACCACACTTGTAGTTCGGTCTCCTACTACTCCCATTTATACTGCAATTGGTACTTCTAGCACTCCCGCGACCATTGGTATTATCACTGGTCTCCTTGTTATTTGAATTTGAATTTTTCTTCCTTTGGTTTTACTTGGACTTACAATTCCTTTTAGTCGTTTCCGTAGGAGATTTCTTATGCGTAATTGCTCCTGTCTTTCTTTTGCTTGTCGATTAATTCTTTGATAATCTTTCCCTTCATGATTATCACTCATAATCTTCCATTCTTCTTTACAAAATCAATATTGCCTTGAATTACAACTCACATATTTTTAACCCTAAAACTAGTTCTTCTCACGTTCTCATTCAACATATAATTCCATCTCCCATACAATCAATTTCTAACATTTCATATTGTTATCATTTTCCCGGCAACAATGCCAAAATATTGTTCTCATTCTATTCAAGCTTCAATATACCAAAGCAATTGAACTAATAGAAGTATGTTCGAATATAGGAAAAGATTGGTTATATAAATTGGGTCTATTAGTATCACAATTGACTGTACTCTGGCTATCTAAAATCAATTATCAAACTACAAAACACCAAGGCTTACTACTTCCGTCTTAATTCAACATATAATCCATTCTACGACTATCAATTCAACAATACTTCTATATTCTTATCCATTCACCTCCCACTTACTCTCTTTGTGGTTTATATATATTCAATTACTAATCTCTAGCTTACCTATTGTATTCAATTTCTCAATTCATCACACAGAATTCAATATCTCGGCTTACGACTCTCACAGTCTGGCACTCCAAACTAACTTCTCAGTATTCAAAAACTATCTATTACTCGTCAACAACAAAGAAACAAAAAGAGGTAGTACCAAGCTTGCCCCGGCTTACGACTATCACAGTCTCACCCTGATCTCCCTTTCTTCAAGCTCTTTATCCTACCAAAAGATGGACTATTGGCCAGCAAATTCCAAAAGTTATGACCCTTTGAATTCTTAATCATTTATTCCACTAACAACCTATTGTTACCAACTAAACTACCTAACCATCAGTCTAATCCTGAAGGTTATCTATAACCAACCAGTAACTTACCACAAAGTTTATTTACCTATTCTACAAAGGTTGACCAACATCTGGCAAATATTAGGATTGATCTTTTTGGTGAATTCAATCTTTTTCAAAAAAATTGCACTTGTTGTCAACTTAATTATTAAAAGGTATACAAATTTTGAATTAAAATCAATGGTTCATTCATTAATTATTGAGGTTTAAATCTGCTATAGGAATTACTTGAGATTATTTAGGGTTTGATTAGGGTATGTTTAGGGATCGATTAGGATTTGGTTAAGGTTTGTATAGGTTATGTTTAGGATTTGGTTAGAATTTGGTTAGGATTTGATTAGGGTTTGTTTAGGATTTGGTTAGGATTTGTTTAGGGTTTGGTTAAGATTTGCTTAAAATTTGATTAGGATTTATTTTCGGATTTGGTTAGGATTTGATTAGGATTTGTTTAGGATTTGGTTAGGATTTGACTAGGATTTATTTAAGATTTAGTTAGGATTTGTTTAAGATTTGGCTAGAGTTCATTTAGGATTTGTTTAGGATTTATTTAGGATTTGATTAGAGTTTATTTAGGATTTGATTAGAGTTTATTTAGGATTTGACTAGGATTTATTTTGGATTTGTTAAGGATTTATTTAGAATTTGGTTAGGATTTAATTAAGGTTTCTATTTTAATATTTTGTTAATATTTCTATTTTAATATATTTTTGAATTTCTATGTTATTTCTTTATGATTCTTTAAAGGGTCTATAGGAATACTTTGAGTTTCTTATATCATTCATTTGAAATTTTGATTGAATTTGATGGATGTTTGATCATATTTGCTAATCTTTAATTGTAATTTGTTTAAGAATCTATCAAAGTTGTTAGACTTATTGTTGCGATTTTTCTTTTATCTTCCATAGTGAGGTGCCCTATGCATTCTTAAACCAAACACCTCATAATATGACACTGGTCCTATTTCACTCAAATTATATACAAATACAAAATTTTATGCATCAAATCATAATTATACACATGAAAAGATATGTATTATTAAAATATCCACTTCAAAAGTTAAAATTCAAATAGCTTTTAAAGTTAAAGTCAAAGATTTTTTTATTTAATAAAGAAAACATATCATTAAAAATAATGAATTTTAGACATGATGCAAAGTAAATAGAAACCATGAAATTCATCAAATTAATTTTTAATGTAATCCTAACAAATGCAGCTCATGTCTTAATTTTAACACATCTTAATCTCATTTTAACACCATTTTAACTTTGTTGTTGTTGTTTTTCTTTTTTCTTTTCTTTTTTTCTTTTTTTCCTATCATCATTTTTTGATAGATTTGTCAAAATACAAAACCAACCAAGTGAAGTTTCTTAATTAAAACCAATTACTAACTTTAAAACACACAACCTCTTCTAGCCATATATACCTTCTTGACTCCTGCTTTTTATGTTTCCGGTTAAAGTTGGGCTTGAAGTCGAAGTGGCCTGAGGCGATTTGCAAACCCTAAAATCGGTCGTTGTGCAGCTCGATTCACGTGATTTCGAGAATGTTGGCTGTTAAGAGCACTCGGCCAGAGTCGCCCGCGTCTTCTTCTAATGCCGACTATGGTGCCTTCACATGGGATTTGAAACGAAACAATTAGTTCAATTGGCCAAATGAGCGCCGGAGAAATGTCTACCAAATCCTATGAGACATGGCATTGTTGTCCTACGAAGAATGAATGCCACAGCAAAATCTTTTCGACATCCCGCTTTCACACCAAGTCGCTAGCAAGCGAAATACTGGACCAGCTGTAGTAGCTCCTTACTCACTCCATTACTGCAGCAATTTAGTCATTCCAAACATTTGCAACAACAGAAGACGGGATTAATATGATTGTTCGTCTCATGTCCATCATACGCATAACTACAAAATCCTTTTAAAAAAGCTACACAGCTAGAATTTTAGAACTTGAGCTGACAGCGAATTTCCGTTTAGTTGCTTTGTAGTTCTGTTCTCGTTCTAGTCTACAACATTCAAATCTTCGGAAAAAACGTTACAGTGCAACATCAATTCGCATTCGAAGCAATCCGAACTGCCATTAGGATAATCGAGAAGCACTTGATGAACATGGCCATGAACTATAAGGGCTCCATATCAACGACCGCTTCAAATCCAAATTGCTTGGCCAAGCTCTGAATCAGCTGCTCCGTCACCTCCTCGGCATCCGGTACCACGGGAGAAATCTCTTTCCTCAGCGAAGTCACCTCCTTATCCCGAATACCGCACGGCACTATGTGATCGAAGTAAACCAAATCGGGATTGATATTGAACGCTAGTCCATGGGAGGTAATGCTACCAGAGGAAACCTTAACACCAATAGCGCCAATCTTCCGCAAACCTTCCACCCAAACCCCCGTCTCCTTGTCCATCCTCCCGCGAGCATTCACCCCATGAAATTTGCACACATCCACCATCACATCCTCCAATCGTTCAACAAAAGCCCGCACCCCGACTCGCAACTCTCGTAATCCTAGTATCGGGTAGAGTACCGCCTGCCCAGGGCCGTGGTAAGTGATGTCACCCCCTCTCTCGGTGATGTGCACCTCCGCTCCAATGGCCTTCAGCTCCGCAGGCGACGCTAGCAAATTGTGGAGCGTGCGACGTTTGCCTACTGTGAATGTAGGTGGGTGCTGCAACGAGAGAAGCACATCAGCGCTTCCCTGCCGTCTCCGCTCCACAAGCTGCCGCTGCAGGAGCTCCGATTCGGCATACTTCACAAGCCCACGCATCCGCCACACTTCTAATCTCTTCCCTGCCACCATCGCTGCCACCAACCAAAATTTGCAAATTACAAGGCTCCGCTCTCGCCGAGGTGTCGACGCCGCGATTTCTACACCTCGGATGTTTTGGTCTCCTCAGAAGGCGATCACGATACTTGCAAGTCCTGCGAAAACAATAACCCCCGGCGGGTATATACTTTCCTGAGTAAGGGTATTGGGCAGACATAGGTAAGTGCAATCAATATCCCTCTAGCGGGTATACATTTGCCTTAGTAAGGGTACTGGGTGGATATGGGGCACGCAGCGCAATGTCGGGTACCTTTAGTGGATGAAAGAAAGAACTTGTTGCTGTTTCTTGTTAAAATATAACTAAATTGTACATTGCTATTAAATGGGTTGTATGAAAACTTGAAGACCAATGCTTATATTTTTACACAGTGTTTTAAAAACAAAAAAATGCTCAATAGATTTTGAGAATGATACACATTTTAGGAAGTAAAATTATTTTATAGAGTATACAAGTCAATTTATAATCGTAAGGTACTTGATTTTTAAATATGCATGACTAACTATATGCTAAATTTAATGAGTTCTAATTTTTAGAAAACATTTAAGTTTTTTCAATCAAATATAAAATGTAAGAAGAAGAAGAAGAAGAAGAAGAAACGTTATTTTGGAAAACATTTTTAATATTTTAAAACATTGTTTAGTTAACTCTTTTGGAACTGAAAGTTAAATAGCTAGGCACTAAAGATCCTTTTATTTATATAAATAAATTAGTCATTTCTACCTTATAAATTAAACATACTCATTAATTAGAATATTTACGTGATTTCTAAAATGTTGTGTATTTCTGACTTTATTTATTTATTTATTTATTTTGACATAACAACCTCACTAATCCTTACACATGCAAAATTCAAGATTAATTAAGTTACACCATTAGACATATCAATTTATAATTTTTTTTGCATCATTTTAAATTTTGTAGCAGGTATATAAAACTTTAATATCCTTAAGATATAAATTTTAAATTATTTTTATATCTTCTTTTGCTATCAATGCTATATTTATTTTTTCTTCCATACTTATTTCCTTAAAAGATTTTTTTCTATTATTTGAGTGTTGTATATACTCTTTGAGACAATGTGAAGCTGTAAATTTATTTATATCAAATTTCCATTATTATTATTATTATTATTATTATTATTATTATAAGTTTTATTATTATTTTGGTTTTCATTCTTCAACAAATAAAGAAAATGAACAAGTAGATCAAAGGATCTAAGTGTTTAATTTTTTTACAATAGTACTCTTTTTTGTACATTCTTTTTGAAAAAGTTTACAAAATTAACTTTGTTGTATATTGAAGCAGAGACAAGAATAAAAGTGGCAAAAAAAATCTTATTTATGAAGTTTGTGCAATGCCAACAATTAAAGCTGTGTTATCACCAACCATGTTTTTAAGCAATATAAAATTCTCCAAGATTTGTTTAACAAGAACAATACAAATATCTTACATGAATGTTATTTTTGAAATTATAAAGTTGATTTTCAGGAAGATGAAACATCATAATTTGATTCATATTTTTTATTTTTAATTAAATAGATTTTTCAGTATTTAAATAATAAAATAAAATCCATTTAAGATTTAATGGTTTTGAAAAATTTCTTACCTTGGCTTTGTAAAAAATAAAGCTTTACAGATGTACATTGCTTATTGAGCTCCAAACATACCAAATATATATTCATATATAATATTTATACCAATCTTTTATGAATTTGATAAATTTTAAAATCTATGTTAATTTCTTAAAAAATCACTCATAAAGATAAATATGAAGAATAATGGAAGTATTATGTGATACGAACTATATAGGTGATAAATATCTAAAAATTGGTTGTTGCCTCTAAATGTTTATTTTATAGTTTGACATTGAAACATTTATTCATTTTCTTACCATATATATAAAAATTTAGTATTAGATAATTAAAAAAAATACAAAAATATTGATTTTTTTTTGATATTTTTTTCCTTTGATATATTTAAAACAAAGACATTTCTATGATATTTTCAATTTAAAAACTTGAACTTTGTACAATTTATTTGATGCAAGTACACACCATTCAATTACAGTTTTAAGATCATCTTTGACCGAAATCCCACAAGCATTGATTTCTTTAACTTTTATTTTTTTTTCTGGATAAAACCCAACTTACTAAATTAGAATATTTTTGGGTCAAAGTATAATTCTTCCTTTGACTCCACCAAAATCAACTTAGTTTTTTTGTATATTTTTTTCGTTTTACCCACCAACTCAAGTATGTAGCAACCTTAAGAAATAATCCTTTGTTTCTTTTAAGTGTGTTGGTAGAATAGACCATCAGTCTTACCTGTTGAATCTTACGGTTTCTTCATTCTACCAAACCGAAAAAACATAATTGAAAATTACCTAATCCAAGTGAAGAAGCTCTCGATGTCTTGGTGCAAACCAGCTCTTTAGAGTGCACCGTATTTTTCCAGCTTCCTCTGGTCATCTACTATTCCTGAGCAAACTTTAATACTAAGTTGATGAAGGTAATGCTCTATCCGCTCATTTTCTTTAAAAAATCTGCTGATTACGTGGTGCTAGGTTGCTGAAGCCGCTTCTAGAGAGGAACAAACAAATCAAAATAGTTGCAGCTGAAATTAAGAGCACTAAATAGATAGATGGATTGAGTTGCTTTGACAGCCCAAAACCTGGTTCATAATCGAAATCAAGTCCTTTTGTAAGGATTTTGGCCGGTTTGAAGGAATTTTCTTTGGGTGGTGGTTTATTTCCCTGCTCCTCAAACAGTGCCTTTACCGAAACATTTTTCTTGTGGAGCTGGTGAGATGGTAGTTCGGGGTTTTCCCTTGTCAAACAGGCCATGACCTCTTATAAGTGCAGCATCAACTGTAGTAGCTAATGGATCAAGGATAAAGTCCAGCGTAACGGGAACATGATTGGGAAGAAATATAGAAGTTGTTCGGTTGTAGTACACGGGGGCGCTCGCTGTCACTGCAAATCTCATGTAAACATTCAAAACTAGTTGTTGTCAACCCGCATCAAGAATAGGTCAGTGAAGTAAGCCATTGCTATCTGTCTATCTATTTATCTATCTGACTATCTTTTCTTTTAATTTAAAAAAAAAAAAAAAATTGTATGAAAGAAAAAGGATTTTAAGATACCAACCTCCGTAAACTTGCCCACGAACTAGAAGGCGGTAATAGTCTCCAAATCTAGTGCTCGCTTTCATCTGAAATAGTCAAAATTTCATCAAATTTTATTTGTGTCTGTGGGTATTCATCATACAAATTGACGATGAGTCTGGGGTAAAATACATCGTGGACGTGATATATACATGTCCTGACTTATAGAAAAACTTACAAAGAGAAGACCAATGTCACAAGGTACTACATGAATTTCTTAAAACAAGTTAGACTACAAGAATGCATGAAAGTGAAATTGGTATTAAAACGCACAGAATGGCTTACGCCCGTGATATCATTTGTAGCAGCCACTGGCCGTCCTTCCTTTAATGACATGACACACCCATGTACTCCTGACTGAAATGGCCACAATCATTAGATTTCGTTAGTTGTAAACACCCACTGATCAGGTCATGCTGCGCGGCTTTCATCATCTTTCCCTTGTCCAGATCGCAGTGTTCCACTCTTACCTTCATTCCTGAGATGCTATTTCTTAAGTTCTGGGCCTTCCATTCACTCCATTCACCATATTCAAAAAGATAAGTGTTCAAAAGCAAAAGCTACCACTTTACTTAGGATTTGACCAAATCTTCAATCATCCGCCATGAAATTTAGAAACCTATACACCCACCGTGACTGTGGCCGCCACAAGCTCTGGCATGCTCTTTCGATGATCATTCCAGACGCGGAAAATCTAAAAAACAGCCAGTTTTTGCTCTTCTTAGTTCGGCTTCACTCGGATGTCAGAACGCGCAAGAACGCGTCAGAACTAGCGTTACAAGCACTGCGAAATTATGTAACGAAACGTCAGAAGTAATAAATATCAACATTCTCCATTAACCGGTACTACACCACATTGTAGGAGGGACGTTGAAAATTGTCCAGGAAGCTCATAGCAGAAATAAAGGACCACATTTGAAGTGGATCAGGGTGAAGCACCTGGTCAGGGAAATCACGGTTAAGATAGACATTGTGCGCATTATTTCTAGTGGGACCCGGCTTTGCAACAGCAAAACCATCTGAGTTCCTGGATGGGAATAGATGCAGATGTATCTTGTCCACTATAAGAGGCCTGCACAAGTTTTCACTACAGCCAAAATTGAGAGAATTGATGATCTTCAGCTTAGTGAAGCTGGCCAAACATCGTCTTTTATCAGGTAGCAAACTAGCACAATGTTGAAACAAGATGGGCCACATTGATCCCCCAAAAATTTATAGAAAGCAGTTCAGGTGGCTAGGGTTACGGTTTTAGTCAAATCCTTCAAGCTACACTAAGCGTTGCCAATGGATCGGGCTTCCATCAATGCGATTCACCAGTCAACATGTAGTATGAGGGAAGAGAAAAATCCTTGGGTGCATGTTGTAAGATGGAACCCAGAAGAGCAAAAGAAGCTGTAGATTTTTACTTGGAACGTAGAGCACACAAATCAATAACATCCAATAAGGAAAAAAATCTGACCGTGGGATCCTTTTTATAGTTATAGCAGAGCCAATCCGAAAGCAGAAGCACCAACGCTCGCCCAAGAGGCTCGTCTCCATGGATGTTTCCCACATTCTGAACCATCAAAACATAACTCAGTTTTTGCAACTACTGAAATCCTTATTAAATTTCTGATGAGGAATGAGAAAATTAATGAGAAAAAGAAAAAGAAAAAGAAAAAACACCTTATATGCAGGTTCAGGCTCAGAGACTCCAGGTTTGTCTGAAATTTCCAATGCCCACGACATCCACAAACAATAGGCACTATGAGTTCGGACCGAAACCTTGTAAGACACCTTGCTCCGACGCTTCTGTGAGGCTCGATAATCACTTTCTGTACCTTAGTTCCACATGAGCTCCATGGCAACCTTTGAGAACATGCAACTGTATTGTAGTTGTTAACTTCTACTCTCAAAAATCATTGTGATGTTAGGAAGTGAGGAATTCATGCAGTGTAAGAGAAGATATATAAGGAAACAAAGATATTGAAGTCCAGAACGAGCGGAAAATGCAGATCCTTACCAAGAGCAAACCAAGAGTGCTATTCCCTATTCTGCATCCACAAAACATTCACCCTGCACAAATAAGTTTCCAAAAACAGTCCTCTTGTACAAGAAACGCCAATCTCTATCACACAACTGGAAACTCCTCTCTCACCGATCAAAAGAGTCCAGATCCATGTTAGGTATCCGAGTGAGGAAGAGGCGTACGTGTAAAGTCTCGATATATGTCTGCAACGCCGAGTGAAATTTTTAAGAACTACCTCCAATTCCAAGTTACTTTTGCAGTGAGCTTCAACAGAGGCATTGGATGGAGTAGTAGCTTCCACTTTCGTAGCTGCAAAAATATGAAAGCTTCAATCATCAGACATGATTGACTCGATACTAAGAGGTACAAGGTGAAGAAGTGGATCGAATGCTTTAAGTTCCTCTAAAAAAATCCTCAACAAAAACGTAACTTGAACTTAAACAATTTTGCTCGATTTAGCTATTATAAGATCGAGAACAATCATTCAGTTTCGAATTCCGTTCTGATTGCGCAGAATCGTATAATACCACGCCCTCCCTTGCTCATTTTATACATATATATGGAGTGAGAGAGGGAGCATTGCCAAGCCACCTCAGGGTGAGAATAGAAAGGTTTGCTGAACGTATTTCAGTTAATAAAGAGCATTTAGAAGAACTAAGTGTGACAACACAAATGAACAGCACACAGGTAAAAAATTCTTGCGGAGGAAACCCAAGCGAATTCCGTCTATCTGCCAAGACATGGCATTGATTGCAATCTTGGACTTCCTCAGAACTCAAAAAGGAATCTACGTAAAATTAAGTGGAGATACTTTTGATCCCATAACTAGCAGAGATTGCCAAGTCCAAACACACGAGCACCACGAACAAACACTTTGCAGCAGCAGCCACTGTTTCGCGACCACACGAGCCCCACTTCCGGACCTCCCAGACCTCTTCTCGGTTTGCTACAACTCCCCTATTCTCTCATACATGGCCTACACAGATTGCTGCCCTCGAAATCCTTTCCAAAGCTCTAACAGGTCCTATCAGTTCTCTCCTTGAACACAAAAATCTCTCGGGATTCATCACAATCGTCACACAAGAACGCGAGGGCATTTCCCTCCCGAAACTACCCAGATCTCTTGTAACACTATCTTTTGCTGCATCTGAAGTCAGAACCCAACTTCCAATTGCGAAACCGCAACATTCGAGTACTCTCCTAATCGGACATACATGCACTAAAGCTTCTCCCATGCTGCATGAGGTATCAGACGCTCTAAAACCTTTGCAACATTCGATGCGAGTACCGTCCGGATTGCATGACGCAGTAGTAATTTTGATCCGCACTTGACACTACATAGTTGTTCACTTCACAAGCCAAAACTGACAACGCGAAGTCACAGAGCAAATTAAGACTCACTGGGTTGGTCTACAATTCCTCATGCACTTCGTGCTGACCAGCACAGTGTGGAATAAGAGACAAAAGACGGTCATTCATCCATCACCAGACATAACTGTGGTTGAACCTTCAGAAGTGGGTTGAACAAGGACATGTAGAAATAGTGGAACTCGAGGGTTTAAATGCAAAATGACACATATCACACCTGTCGCTGGAGGTGTAAATCGTGACTCGTCTTCTTTTGGAACCTCACGCTTGCCCTCTGGGTTTTATGAAGGCAACTTTATCCACAAAGTACCTACGATAACGGCTCCTCTCGATTTTTATTATTCATCTCCTTAATGTGACAACAGGCAATTCGCCTCCTTCTGCTGGGTAGTGGACTGTGGCTGTTCATCGTCGGAAAGTGAGGAAATTAGCTGCTGGTCTTCAGGTGAGTCTATCGCTTTTCCACTTAACTGATGGCAGCTTGAGAGGTTGATACAATAAGTTTCGAAGGAAGAATTTGAGTATGAAACGTCCACAGAATCTGCGCCAGGTTGAAGCTGCTGCTTGTGGCATAATGGATTTGGTGGAAGGAATTGCTTCTTCTGGACTTTATTAAGGTGGCATCGCGGTGAATTGTGGGGTGGCCTTTTTCATTCAAGCACCAGAACATCCAGTCGTTTCAGCTGTGGATTTAAAGTTAAATTAAATGGTTAAACTATTACAATCGTCACACAAGAACACGAGGGTTTCATGGATTTGTAGTAGGTCTTTTGGATTACACGGGGACCTGAGAGAGAGTTAGTGCCGCGCTCGCAAGTTATGATGAATGGGCTCTCTCAAGTCATGTCAGAAACTCAAGAATGTTTTGATGGTGGTTTGCAAGCAAGAGAGCGATAATTTTTGATTGTGGTCTGTTATGCCTTCGTGCAGATCTCGGCGCAGACATTTTGCTAAGAATTAGGTTAAATGATCTGTGTAACATTGATAGGATCTTTGGTATGAAACTTTAGGTTATACTTGCGCATGAACAACTTTCTCCATACCGAGCATTTAGTTGAGATTATGCATTCTGGCTACTGAGGAGGTTTCTTGGGTTCAAGGTCGCAGACCAATAGAGGGATTCAAGGGTTTTTTTAAGGTTTTGCCTACGGGCTTTGGATGCCCATGGCAGGTATGCAGCCTACGCGCCTGCTGGGCATCGACAGGGCCCCCAATTATCAGGGTGCGCCACCCGCGGCTGTATGGAAGAGTGCATTTCGTGATGTAGGGTGCCAAAATTCGTCGCTTTGTTCTGCTTTTTTAGGTTTTAGAGGATTGAGATTAGTGGTGGTGAAGAAGGCGGAGGAGTCGCTGGGTGGACGGAATTATAAAAAGCAGCCTTACGGAGTGACCCAGAATGCACTGGCTGTGGACACCAATCCAGCGACCACAGAACATTCTTCAGCGTGGAAGAAATTTCGCTCAGCAATAGGAAATGCAAATCAAACTATGCAGAAGGTCGGGAAGTTGAATCACTGGGTGGTGCGCGACTACGACAAGCTCGTCAATGCAGTCAACAGTCTGGAGACGTATATGAGGAGTCTCTCAGATGCTCAACTTCGTGGCAAGACAGATGAGTTCAGAGAGCGCCTTAAGAAGGGTGAGAGTTCATTATATCAAATACTCTCAAAAAACTATGCAAATTGTTTTCTTAGAATGGATAGCCTGTGAGTGGGTATGTCACCGATGTCATTATGCAATATGACCACAAATAGTGTAACTTCTGTGCAACTTTGCGCTTTCAGGCGAGACACTCGACGAAATCCAGGTCGAAGCATTCGCAGTGGTCCGAGAAGCAGCTAGACGCACTCTTGGTATGCGACACTTTGACGTCCAGGTGATCGAATCGTGCTTTACATCTTCTTGCAACTATTTAAATCTGTTTGATCTCATTTGGCTTTATTAACAGCACGTCTAGAATGTCAGTTTTACTCGTTACGATTGTCGAAAACAAAACTTTAATGGGTTGTCCGCTCTTGTCTTCTTTTTTCCAGATTATAGGAGGAGCAGTGCTGCATAATGGCGCCATAGCCGAGATGCGCACCGGAGAAGGAAAAACTTTGGTGTCGCCCCTAGCAGCTTACTTGAATTCTTTGTCAGGGGAGGGCGTACACGTAGTGACTGTGAACGATTATTTGGCTCAGCGGGACGGAGAATGGATGGGTCGAATACATCGTTTCTTGGGGCTTTCTGTGGGCTTGATACAGTCAGGTATGGAGCCTGCTGAAAGAAGAGCTGCTTACGCTTGCGACATCACATACTCCAACAACTCAGAGCTTGGGTTCGACTACCTTCGCGACAACATTAGTGACAAAGAGGAGGATCTCGTCATGCGGTGGCCCAAGCCATTCAACTTCGCAATTGTGGACGAGGTTGATTCTGTTTTGATTGATGAGGGTCGCAATCCGTTGCTGATCAGTACCCAGTCTAGTAAGGATGCGGGGCGTTACCCAGCCGCTGCTGAAGTAGCTGCGCTGCTCATCCCAGATTTCCATTACAAAGTCAACATCAAGGAGAAGAGTTTGGATTTGACAGAGGAGGGTGTGGCAGCTGCAGAGCTTGCGCTCGACACTCAAGACCTCTGGGACGATAAGGACCCCTGGGCCCGGTTCGTGATTACAGCGCTGAAAGCCAAGGAGTTTCACATCCGAGACGTGCACTATATCGTCAAAGATGGCCAGATTCAGATTGTAGATGAGTTCACAGGACGCGTGGTGGAGAATCGGCGCTGGTCAGAGGGCATTCATCAGGCAGTGGAAGCCAAGGAGGGTGTGCACATTCAAGCGGATTCAATGACCGTGGCGCAAATCACATATCAGTCCTTCTTCAAGCTTTATCCTAAGCTCTCTGGCATGACAGGTACTGCGAAAACCGAGGAAGCGGAGTTCCTAAAGATGTTCAAAATGCCTGTTGTAGAAGTACCTACGAATCTTCCGAACATCCGACAAGACCTCCCCCTCCAGCTCTTTCCCACCACACGAGGCAAATGGGACCGAGTGCGGGAAGAGGTTTCTCTGATGTATTCTCAGGGCCGTCCCGTTCTGGTAGGAACCACTAGCGTTGAACAGTCTGAGCATCTCTCAGATCTTCTTCAGGAATGGGGCATACCACACAACATTCTCAATGCGCGTCCGAAGTACGCTGCCCGTGAGGCTGAGATAGTCGCACAGGCCGGACGCAGAAATGCCATCACCATAGCCACTAACATGGCTGGTCGCGGGACTGACATCATATTGGGCGGCAACCCTGAAATGCTGGCTAAGGAGATTGTAGAAAGCAGGCTTTTGGGCTTTCTCACTTCAGATGGACCGAATGTTGATACTGACGGGGCGCCCCTTTCCCAAATGGCACTGTCGAAGATCGAGGTTGGGCCTATCACACAAGCGAAACTAGCGAGAGCGAGCCTTGCTGCGAAATATGCTCTAGGGATGAACGGGAAAGTGTCCAACTACCGACAGGCAAAGGAAACCGTAGCTGCTGCCTTCGAGCTGGCGAAGACCGAGAAAGAGGAAGATCTTATAGAGATGGCAACAGGCAAGGGCGCTGAGATCATCACCCTCGGGCCAACGATTGCTCTAGCTTATCTCTCCACCTTGCGGGAATGTCAAGTCCACTGCCGCAATGAAGGCACAGAGGTGAAGCGTTTGGGGGGTCTCCACGTCATTGGTACAGCACTCCACGAGTCTCGTCGTATTGACAATCAGCTTCGAGGCCGTGCAGCTCGTCAAGGCGATCCTGGATCAACCCGATTCATGATCAGCTTGGAAGACGAAATGTTCCGGAAATTCAACACGGACTGGGCGAATAGCATTGTCCTCAGACTGGGGTTGGAGGAAAATGTCCCACTCGAGTATGGTTCCCTCACCAAGCAGCTCCTGTCCCTCCAGACGGCAGCTGAACGATACTATTTTGGTATCAGAAAATCTCTCGTTGAATTTGATGAGGTCTTAGAGGTCCAGAGGAACCACGTCTACACTCTCCGTCAGTCCTTGCTGCTGGATGATGCAGATAGTACCCATCAGCGCTTGCTACAGTACATGCAAGCAGTGGCCGACGAGATGGTCCTCGCATATGTGCATCCCTCCAAGCCACCGACTGCTTGGGAGCTTGATTCCGTCCTGGAGGAGTTCCACGACCTTTGCTATAAAACTTCAGGGCGGCAACAAAACTCAGATGAGCACCAAACTCCCTACGTTTCCCACTCTGACGTATTGAGTGGTGTTACGTCAGCTATGCTCATCGAGGGGCTACGCCACTGTGAAAAGGTAGATGTAGATTTTCTCAAGTTGCCAGGTTTGCCAATGCCTTTCGAAGGGCACAGGAATCTCCGCTTCAAGGCTGGCTCCATCTCGCGGTGGATGGATATTATTTCAGATCCTGCAGCTGAGAGGGGAAAGTATGACCGTGAGGTACACTTGCTGAGGAAATACGTTGGTGATTTAATTATTGGCATGTTTGAGGAGAAGTTGAAGGGAACCTTGGTGCCTCACTACCAGATTGAACAAGTAGAGCGAGCTGTGGCACTGAATGCTCTTGATCGCTACTGGAGGGATCACCTTGTGAACATGAACCGACTGCGAGCTGCTGTCAACGTCCGCTGCTTCGGTCACATGAATCCTCTTGAAGAGTACAAGATTGATGGCTGCCGATTTTTTATTTCCATGCTGAGTGCTGCAAGACGAACTACTGTGGAGTCGTTGCTGCGACCTTGGATTCTTGATGATAGGCCTGAAGGCGTCGATTTCGCTTGATCTTAGCTCTTCAGATTCATGTTATGATCAAATGCTGGCAACCTATGATCGATGACGAATTTCATGTATGAGATTTTTAGACCCAAATCTGGCTTCTTCAAGCATGCTTTACGTCATGACATCTCCTTAATTTTTTATTTTTTGTTACCTGGGTTGAACTCAATGTATGTTTTTGCTAAATCGATGATCGGTTTTGGATGGCAGTTGAGTTGACAAATTTTGGTTTTCTTTTCAGGGTGATCTGGAGCCATGTCTGATACGTCTGATGCAAAGTTGGTGTAAGCGAAGGAAAATCTCCTGATGATGCTGCGGAATAGAAGCCTTAGACTTTACCTTCGGAATTTCCTTGGAGTGAGGGGTACGTTCAGTATTGGCATATTTGGAAAGTTTTCTGGAAGTTTTGGCTTCTTGTGCCGTCTCTGTGTAGCATGAGATCTGCAAAATCATGCGTCACCTGTGTACAATGGCAAATGTTCGTGTACGAGTATGATAAATGATAAAACATAAACACTATCTTCAAATTTAAGCTTATATCAATATTCCGCACATGTAATATGCACTGGTGGTGTTCTTGCATCCAAGCAGAAAGTCAGTATGCTTCGATTAAGTATTCATGATACTATAATGCAGACCATTGAAGACCTCAACCCCTTCGTACAGGGCATCTCGTATATATGCTCTGCATTGAGCTACTGTTCTATGTTTACAGGCTGTGAAGTGAATCGACGAGGAAACTCTTCATTGAGAATTTTGACACTAACCCATCTGAAGCAGGTAGGCCAAAGTTGCGAAATGGACACTCTTTAGGCACTCGCTCCGTTCCTTAAGCTTCACATGTTCTGGACCATGGTATTAACAAGAGTTCCCAGTAGTTTCTTATTTTACCGTATAATGTGGCTCAAAGTGTCTTTCTCAAAACCATTGTGAACTATTGTGATGTTTCGTTGTTACATATTAGCAGATGTGTTACACATTAATTCTCTTTAAACAACAGGATATCAACCATCTATATAAATAACTGCGTGTGGTTTTTAGAGAGCTGTACATGTATATTAATGGATAGTCTAATCATATTTAAAAAATTAAAAAATAAATCATTTATTTCTTTTATATAATTGTTTGATTATTTCTATAAAACAAGTGTAGTGCGTAGTTACAATATTATGTTTAAAAAGTAAAAGATCAGATGTTAATTTCAAATTTAAACTTGAAATTAAATATTGATAAAATTACAGTTTTATAAATTGTTAAAAAAAAAAAAAAAAAAAAAAAAAAAAAAAATTGTGCTCAAAAACCTCAGCAATAGACTATTTAAAAATATTTGTTGAAAAGCATAGTTGTGTATTTATTGGTCGAATATCTATATCTAAAATTATAAATTAAATCCAAAGAAGAACTTAATTAAGAATATAATCTATTTACAGAACTTGCAGAAACAAAAAGACTTCTTCCAACTTCCAATGTTTTTTTTTTTTAAATCTTGCTGATGTGGCATAATAATTACCACATGTGTATAAATTTATATACATAAAATTTTAATTATTAAATGTGTATAAATTTTTATATATTTATATGGAAAATAGCTTAAATTGATTATATTTTGAAATAAATAATTTAAAAAATAAAATACAATATTTAAATAAAAAACTTAAAGAATTTATATATATTCTTAGAATATGAGGAAATACGTATTGCTGCTAATTATATATATATATGTTACTAGTAGATATATGTATACACATATAACTTGGTATTAAATTTTTTTTAAAATATATAAATATATATTGAATTATAATCTAAAAATATCTATTTTTAATATAAATCTAATTAGGTCTAATTTTATATTGTATTATTATAAAAATACATATGGTCAATCAAATATTACCAAAAACTCCTTGTATTTGATTTTATTGTCATTCAATAAAAAGAAGTAGATATAAGTTAGTAGAAGTAAGCAAAAGTAGATAGAAATACATTAGAAAGATAATATCTATCTTAAGAAGCTATAAGAAAGTTTTTTTAGATGTAAAGTAGATGATTAGACTTTTATAGATATGTCATGTGGCTATTACAACTTCTTCCGCAAGTTTCTTCTATTTAGTTCTATTGGAAGCAATTTATACAATTCATGCTTTAGCTAATAGCCTTGCCATCTCTAAGAGGCTTCTACAAGGCCTTTTTTGTAGGTAATATATATTAAAGCAAGAGTGAGGTTATTTTTTTTAAATCCTATTAGCATGTTTTTTTGAATTCTAGTCATGGTTTAAGACTATATAGTCTCTTTATATTTCATAATTGTCATTATATTTCTTTCTTATTACCATCTCTTCTTTCTTTATTTTCTCTTTTCTTAGGTAGAACATAAGTATATTGTCTTTTAGATTTTATTTAGATTTATTTCTTTAATAATTTAACAAAATTTCTATTTTTTTATGGTTAATTATTTTTAGCAATGAATAAATTATCCTACATCTTTAAAAATATTATTGTAATTTGTAGTTTATGAATTAGCTACCATTATTTTTATTTTTATTTTATTTTATTTTATTTTATTTTATTGTTAGCATTTATTTCTTCTTTAAACAAAGAAATTTAACTCTTTATAATAAATTTTAAAAAATTATTAAAGATTGCAAGTTATAATCTTCTATTTAGAATTTTAGACTTCTTAGTATTATCTATTATAGAGATGGAAGAAAAACAAACTGTAGATGCTATATTTAATAGAGGTGAAAATAGATTTATAACTATTGCAAATCTTTTCATATATTTTAATATTTTTTATGTAAAAATCTCTTATATTAGCAATCAGAATTATTATATTACTATTGATATATGTAAAAAAAAAAAAGTTGACATTAAAGTCTTATATTTGCACTAAAAAGTCGTGTAGTTAAAAGAAGAAAATATAATTAAACCAACTTCAAAAGTATATCCTAAAAGTTATTTTTTACAAGTATGAAACAACCAAAGATTAGTATATATATATGAAACAACCAAAGATTAGTATATATATATATATATATATATATATATATATATATAAGTATTTTTAAATCAAATAATTTTTTTGAAATTTTTTTCAATAAGTCAAATTCTTTTTAAGGTTACTTCTTTTTTAATACCTTGAAGGAATTGCTCAAGTAGGATTGATAAACATACTTCTATCTATGAATATTATTTCTTGATTAATATTTTTTGTATAGAAATATTCATTACTTTTATATAATATAAAATTATTTTTTAAAGTATTTATAGTTAATTTTGGAGAAAATAATAAAAACAATTAGTAAGAATGAAATTTTAATTTTTACAATAAAAATCAAGTCTAATTGCTATTTATGCTATCAAATTATACCAACTTTGTAATGTGGATTGAAATACTAATTCTCTTATTAATTAGTTTGAATATGGTTTAAAAGACATAATCAAAGAATTGTTGTGGATGTAAGCAATAGTAGATTTGTTAAAACAATTTCTCACTTAAGCAATTACATGTGAATTGGTTCTTTGAAAGGTGCCAAAAACAAAGATTTGGTTGAAAAGGAACAAATCAAGTAATGATAACATTATTTAAATCCTCAAAATTCTATTCATTAAGGTCAAAAATTATGTAAATTGATACATCTAAATATAAATGATTAATACCATAAGAAAAAAAATATCACATTGTAAAAACTTATCTTTATATTGTAGATCAAATATTCATACAATATAAGATTGTTGCATCAAATTAAAAAGATTTAAGATAAAGAACACAAACTAAAACATAAAAAAGTTCTAAATCAAAGAAGTTAAATAGTTGTAAGGACCTTGAAATTGAAGATTCAACGTAAGGACCTTGAAATCTAGTGGTTTGTTGCTTTTTTTTAGTTTGAATTACATAGTAATAAAATCATAAAATTTTATTTTAAGAACTAATTTAAATAATAGCAAATAATTTTTATTTTTATTATTTTAGATTAATACATTTATGTAAGATACAAAAGGAGAAGATATATTTTTTATTTATTTAGATCTAATATTTTAAGTAAGTGAAGTTTAATATCATAAACTAATAATTAGAATATGAAGAAAAAAAAAAAAAAAAAAAAACTCTAAAATCTTCATTTGCTATAACTCTGCCAATTTTGATAAGTATGCCTTTGGCACATGAATTGGCTATAAGGTCTAAGGCACATGTAATATTATGAAGATAATTATAAGAGAAAAAATATTCGAAAAAATGAATCTTATCTCATGAAGTCCAAAGGCAAATGATTTACCTTATTTTACAAGCATTATTTTAAAATATTTAATTTCTATCAATAACAAAGAGCCATCACCTCCAATCTTCAATTCTTCAAAATTCTCCTTTCTAAATTGATGTACAATATTATTTGAATTTCTTAAATTTTCTTCTTTTGATACTTTTTCTATTTGTTCTATAGAATCTTTTAATAAAGGTTCAATAATAGATTTTACCTTTTGGTCTATTATTTTATATTTTTTCTCTACAATAACTTTTGATACTTAAAAAGGTTCATATATAGAATAAACCTCTCTTGAATAAATTTCCACAATCTTATCATTATCTTCTAATCCAATAGATGCTATTAACTCCAAAGAATATTTCAATCCATTTTCTTCATAAACACCTAAAATCTTCTTATCACCTTCTAATTTTTCTCTCACTAATATAATTATTTTTTAAATCCTTAACTTTCTTGTATGTAATACTTCTATTTTAAAAAAGGCTAATAAAACTTGCATCAAAAGCATCTTCATCTTGCAAAAGTACCTCTCCTTTTGTAATTCTATAATCTCGCTTTTTAGTGGTACTCCTCCAAAATCCTTAAATTTGTCAATAATTCTTGGCAACAACTTCTCCTTTAATTTATCTCAATTTTATTTACAATTAGAATGCATAGCTAAAAATTGTACTACTTTTCTTCCATCTTCACTATGTATCTGTATATAAATTGAATAATTATCAAGTACTTTTGTTTCTATCTATGTTGCTATAATATAGTTGTCATAAAATAATTTGATATAAGATTATATCTTGAATAAAAAAAAAAAATTATATTACAACATCTTTAGTCTAAATTTTAACATTTGAGTAAATTTCATATAAATCACCTTGTGTATTATTAGCTACTTGTATTGTCCATCTATGCTCCATATCAATTATCCACCTTTGTTTCTTATAAAGATCCTTAGACATTAGATTTTATTTTGGAACTATTGTCAATTAAAGCAATAATCAATTCTTCTACATCTTTCATCTTTACTAATACTTTTGTAATTATTTTTTTCTAATTTTTTTGAATATAATGGCTTGAAGCTTCTATTAATTTATCACTATAATCTTCAAAATGCACTTCTTATTTATAACCATTCCTTTCACTTGTTGATTACTTATAACAATTACCAACTTCTTTTTCATCTTTGTATATCCTTGCTTTAATAGCATGACTCATTTCAGCTTTATCCATTAATTTCCTCTTCTATTTAATACTATTAGTAATAAAAACATGAAAGTCTTTCTTTCTAATTCTTAAAAAAAAATTTAATATGAAGTTCACCTTAGCATTTAATACACATTCTTTTAATATTCTTTTCAATTTTTTTACTACTTCAATATCAAAGAGTAATTTATAAGCTATTGATTTACTATTATCTTTTGTCTCCTTTGTTTTTTCTTCTAATATTTTTGAAGTATCATTTGTAGATAATTCTTATAAAATTACTATTTTATTATATGAAGTTTTACTTGAAAATGCACCAGGCACCTAACTATGGAAGGCAAAAGGAAATTACAACAATAAATTCTAATAACTCTAATATAATCATATATAAATTATAATTAAATATTAATAAATATAATCAAAAATTGATCAAGTTCAATTAAAATTTTAAATATATTAAAATAAAATAAAAAATAAATCCTAAATAGATTTTAATTGAATTTTAATCAAATTTTAAGCAAATCCTAGAAAAATCCTAAAA